TGATCAAGTTCCTGCGGCATGGTGGCGGATTGCGGGCGAAGAGGTTGTTCCATCGAGTTGCCCGCCTGGTGTGCAGACCCCCCTATCCCCTCCGGATGCATTACCTGTCGGCTCACACTTGGACGAAGGCTCCAGGTCTCCCAGATGGGGTTCGAGTAGTTCGAGTCGGAGGATCGCGCCGCATCGACGATGCATCAGCGATACAGCTCGATGTGCAGCACGATTTTCTCAACGCCGATGCATCGCCGACGTCGCCGATGCATCGGCGATGCGGCGCGACCCTTAGGCCACATCTACTCGGACTCCATCTAGGAGACCTCTAAAGGCGGAGGCAGCGCTGGACGCGTTTCTCGCCGCCCACCCGGAGCACGGAGCGCTCCTGCACGGCCGCGAGCCGTTGACGGTGGCCGGTGACTACAAAAGGTGTGGTTACGCCAGGATGTGGTTTGCGATCTGCATCGTTGAGGCTTGGGGGCACCACGTTGTACTCGTCGGGGCGCGGTGGAAAACTCTGTCGAGGTCCTCGCCCCCACCCCCCCCAGGGCGCGGGTTACAAACCACACCCTTTGCAACCCACACCTTCCGGTCAGCAGACGAAGACCTGTACAAAATAATGTGTTCCGCCGTCTGGGACGCTAGCCCCAGGGTTCTACCCCGACGTGCCAACGTAGGGGCATCGAATGGCTTTCGGCCCATCCCGCCACCGTGTCTGAGTTGCCGAAATGTAGCCTATTGGATGTTCGTTGGGATCTCGTGGGAGGCCGCTCAGGGGCCTCTTGGATGCAGTTTAGGCCTCTTGGGGGCCGTTTCGGGTCCTCTTGGGGCCTCCTGGGCGCCCCTTGGAGCCTCCTGGGGACCTCTTGGGGCGGAAGGCTCGGATGTTCGGTTCGTGTTCCCTCTTGGGGCCGTTTTTGGGCCCTCTTGGGCCGCCTAGGGTGCCTCTTCGGCCGTCTTGGGGCGCTCTTAGGCCGTCTTGGGGCTCTCTAGGAGGCCTCTTGTGTCTGGAGGGGTATTGTGAGCATCTTGGGCCATCTTGGAGCGTCGGAAAGCCGAAAAGGCGAAAAGGCCAACATTCTCAGATGCATATGTATATATATATATATAAATATATATAGAGAGAGAGAGAGAGAGAATATATCTATATATATATAAATATATATACAGAGAGAGAGAGAGAGCGATGTGAACATCAACGATGTTGCCCTCTTGGGGCCCTCTTCGGAGGCCTTTCGGAGGCCTCGTGGGGCGTCTTGGGGACCTCTTTGGGCCGTCTGGCGTTCATCTTGGGCGTCTCGGGCCGATCTTGGGGGCCTCTTGGGCCCCGTCGCGTCTCCCCGCGTGACTCTTGGGGCCCTCTTGGCCCGTCTTGGGGCCCTCTTGGGCCGAAAGAATCACCCGCCACCACTTCCCAAAGCCCAGGAGCCACGCGCCGGGCCCCAAGAGGTTTCAGAAACTCCAGACGCTTCGCGTAACCCCACCAGCCCTGTCGGTCTAGTTCGTCTCTGACGGTGCTGCTTGCCGGAGTCACACCGAACCATCGACCTCTGCGTGTTTATGGTCGCGCCGCCGCGCCATTTTGGCTGCGCTTACTTGCTGGTCGCCACCGGGAGTTCCACGGCCACCGGGTTTGGGAGTATCGGTTCTGGCTCTCCTTCTGAGTGGATGCCCGCTCGCTCGCTTCGCTTGCCTTTCTTTCCCTGCTGCCTAGTCGCGGCCCGACTAGTGTTCGGACGGCTTTCGACCCGCCTCGCGAGCCTGTTGACCAAGAGTAACCCCACCAGCCCATCCAGAAACGATGCCCAGAGGAATTGCCTCGATCAGGGAAGCGGGCATCACAGAGGAAGGGTCCCCCAGTGGAGGCCTATTGGAGCGTCTTGGATGCCTCGGAGAGCTTCTTGGGGCCTCTTGGGGGTCTCTTGAGAGCATCTTGGAGGCCTCTTGGGCGCCTGTTGCGGCCTCCTGGGCGTCCCTTGGGGCCCTCCTGAAGCGCTCTTGGGAGCCTTGGGAGCGCTCTTGGGGCCATCTTGGAGGACATCGATCAAACAAGAAGCGAGCATTAGTTAATGCTGCCCTTCGGGAGCCCAACAAATCGCTTCTTGGGGCGCTCTTGGAGTGCTCTTGGGGCCGTCTTGGGGTTTTCTTGAGCCTCTCTTGGAGCCATCTTAAGGCTTCGGATGGCCATCGGAAGCGAAAAGGCGAGAAAGCCAAACACATAGATGTGCCAAAGGTTTGGGCCTCTTCGGGGCCTCCTGGGGGAGCTCTTTGGCCACTTGGAGCCGTCTTGGGGCATCTTGGAGCATCGTGGGAGCCATTATGAGACATCTTGGGATATCTTGAGCCATCTAGAGGTCATCCTGGGCTCTCCCGGGCGCTCGTGGAGTCATCTTAATCAGCGCCCCCCAAAGAGGCCAACATGTGGCTAAACCCTTGGTGAAATCAATGATTTGGCATTCTCGCCGAGGCCTCTTGGAGCATCTTGGGTGCCTCTGTGGGGTCTTGGGGCATCTTGGCGGTTTCTTGGGAACCTCTTGGGGGCATCCTGGGGGTTTCCTGGCCACATCTTGGGGCCCTATTGGGGCACCCTTGGGAGCCTTGGGGTCCATCTTTGGACCATCTTGGGCGAGATCGATCACAGGAGGGGGGGCTACTAATTACATTCCCCCCTTCAGGAGACCAAAATGGGGCCAATTCCTCGCCGAGGCCGTTTTGGACGTTCCGGCACCTCGCGAAACCCTTTGTCCAGGTCCAGGGGAGGGGGTAGGGGGAGGGGTAAACCCTTCCCCGAAGGGGAAGAAGGAGGGGTGGAAGAGGAAACTCCCTAAACCACCGACGCCCAGAGGGCTGGTGGGATTCGGGCCCAGGCCCCCTGAAACACTGCTCGGGACTGAGGACTGAGGCTCAGGGGGCTGGCCAAAGGACCTGGGGACACGCCCACTCCGTGCCCAGCGGCACGGTAGCGGATATGAAAGTTTCCAGCCGCCCAGGGGCAGGCGTCCCCGACGGTGGTGAAGTTTATGTTTCTTGCGTTATACGTCCCCGAATTCCGAGTTGCCGAGGTGGTGTTGTTGTTGGCCGGCCTTGCGGCGTTGGCGTTGCTCCTCGCCGCGCACGAGCTGATCGGCTGCTGGCGGCTGCTGTCCTGCGCCTTCGGCCGCTGCGCTTGCCGCCGCGGCCAGCACCGCACGACGCCGCGAGCCGCGGTCGGCGGCGGCGGCGGCGAGCGCACCGCGGACAGCACCTCGGAGGAGGTGGCGTTCGGTAGCATCGAAATTCCGTCTTTGGAGTGCATGAGCGCGCGCTGGTGTCTGGCAGTCGACGAGAACGCGCCGATGTAGCGTCGGCCTCGCGTTGATGAGCGTCGAGCAGCGTCGGTTAGCGCCGGTTCGCAAGAGCCAGCAAGATGGCGCGGGAGGCTCCCATGAGTTGCCACCGAAGGTGGCGGACCTGAGGCAGAAGCTGGCGGCCGAGCGGCTGCGCAGCGCCGCGGCCGAGGCGGAGGTGGAGCGCTTGCGCACCGCCGCGGCCGAGGCGATGAAGGCTCCCCCTCGCGGCCGGCTGCCGCCGAAACCAGAGAGCCTTGCACCCGGGCCTGGCACCGCTCGTGGGCGAAAGACAGGTCCGTATCCGCGACCTCGCTGGCCAGGGCCTCGGGCCGCGCCCCAGCGAATAGGGGGTCGCTTCTCCGCGGATGCCCCACACGGGGCGTATCCGTGCGACCGCGCATCCGCGGGATCGCGCCTCGGAGTCCAGACCGCGAGGGCGCGGATACGGATATGTTCGCCGATCGTGAATTGCACCACTCGGCTTGAAGGTCGTGCTGCATGAGGTCCAGTCTGCAGGTGCCCCAGGCTTTGAGCCCCGTGACCTTGGTGGGAAGTCAAGCCTTTTGTCAGGACCCGCGCCCCTCCGTGTTTCTACTCCTTGAGCGCTGCTCCTTCCCCCCGCCGCCCGCTGTGCCCAATGCGGCCACGCGCGTGCCACGTCTGCCGTTGAACGCGGCTAGGATTCTCGCCGTTGCGACCACAAAGTGGTTCCCCCCTTACCCCGATCTTCAAAAGTCGGGTCCGAATGCCAGGAGGCCCGAGATACTTGGGCGTTTTGCCTGTGCTGGTTGCTCCTCTCAGGGGCCACGATAGGGGGGGGGATAGGCATAGGGGGGGATGCATCGGCCCCCCATTGTCCAGTGACCGCCGACAGGGGTTTGATAGCCCCACCCCGCCCAGGCACGTGCGGGTTTACTGTCGGGGGCCTATCTCCGATCTATCGGCGACCGGCACATCCTTGGCCGCTTTCGCTGGCCGCGTCCCGCTCGCAACGTGTCGGCACGGCCTTCCAAGGCCTATGCGTCCTTATCGCGCGCCATTATTACACGGGTTGACTGCATCGTTGCCCTTCATCCGTGAGTGAGCAGGTTGAGGCCCACCACAGGCTGCAGGTTGAGTGCTTTCTGGCTCGTCGGCCACGGCGCTGGAAGGTGCGGCAACCGTCAGGAGGAACAAACATATGCACAGACATATAACCGTCGACGTCCAGCGAGGTACGGGAAAACATGCGAATTGGAGGGGAGGGGATGTCGAAAGTCAAGACATCTGTTCACAAATTGAAAGGCAAGCGTCAGGAGGAAAAAAGGCACAGACACAAATCAACGCCGATGTCCAGGAAGATTTGGGGAAATATGGCAATTGGAAGTGAGGACGAAAATCAAATAAATGTGGAAACACATTGAGAATCGTTGAATGCATGTGTCTATTTGTTCGTTTCTCCCGGTGCCCCTTCAACCCCACAGTTTTTCGCACGGGCCAACCACTCAGGGGTTGGCCGTCATGCTCGAAACGAGGTGGTTAAGAGCCATCTAGAGCGTGAACGTCAAGAAAATCCCACAGAGTCGTAAGGCTCAAAGCTTGAAGCCAGACACTTGAGCAGTGACGAGATCAGCTCAGACTGGGCGATGGCTCCTCTTTCTGGTTGTCGACCTGGCGACCCGACCCTCTGAGCCAGTCATGGCCTTCGCCGTGGTGCAGGTTTGGGGGGAACAGAGAGGCACCGATGCCGCATCCTCCACGGACCCCTGGCGCGGTGCGTTCGGACCGGGGCCTCGAGGCGAGCCCAGTCGTGGCGACGAGGAGTGGACAGCGGCATCGGTATCTCCCCCCACTCCGAGGTTTAGTCTGCCCCGCGCAGGCGCCGGAGTGCGTCGCCGCTTCGTCCGCGGACGCCAGCAGCTCGCACGCGATGAAGCTGCCCGCGGCCGCCGGCATGGCCGGCGCCGCCGCCGGCGAGGAGGGTGAGCCCTGCGGGCAGGCCGAGCCCGGCGGCGACGCGGCCCCGGTGGTGGCGCTGCCCTCTCGCGAGGAGGTGGCCGAGGCCCTCGAGCAGTGGCAAGGGCAGGGGCCACGATAGGGGGGGGGGATGTCGAAGAAGAAACGACGCCATAAGCATAAATCTTCGGCACTCTGCGCAGATTTCTTGGATCCGCGCTGGGCCCCCCCCCGGCGGCGCCTCCGGCGCCGCCCCTGGCGCGCTCCGCGCGCCATGGAGGGGGCTCCAGCGCAGATTCAAAAAATCCGCGCGGAGCGCAACAAGTTTATGTTTATGGCGCGTTTTTATTCTAGGAGAAGCATAGGAGGGGAAGGAACGACCCCCAATCGCTCATTGATCGCCGACAAGGGGCCGACAGCTCCAGTTTGCCCAGGGACGTGCGGTTTCACCGTCGGGGCCCAATTGTCGGTCTATCGCCGGTCCCAGGTCGATGTGCCACCCCTCATGCCAGTCTCCCCCCATCGCTGCAAGGGGGTCACCTCGGCGGCGAGCCCAGCGGGGGAAGTGGGATCTGGGCGGGTCCTCTCGGAGGGCGGCGGGGCATTTCCGAGGTTCGGCACGAACGAAGTGGGCACGGAGGGCATGGGTACGGAGCCCAACAGCAGTCCGTGTTCATTATGACCAGGACTCGCTGTCCGCGCCGCCGCGGGCGTTGTCCGTTCGTGCCACATGGCCGCCTGCCCAACAGCGGCCGCTGTCGGTTGTGGACAACACGTGCTGTTAGGGCATCGTGCCCACGTTTCCCGTACCCACGTCGGGCGTCCCAGGAGGCCCTCGCGCCTTCTGAGGAGCCGCTTGCAGGTTTGGAGAAAGCCCAGAAAACGTGTCGGAAGGCGCGAGGGCTTCGGAGAGGCCCCGGCGCCCTCGGAGAAGGCCTGCTCCCTCTCATTTCCCCCCCCCCAGGCTCGCCACCGATCACCACCAGGGGGTTCACCAGCCCCTCCTGGAAGCCGAGGTTCCAGTGCCGAAGCTCGAGGAGGTTCTTTGGGACGTCCTGGGGTCGGTCGTTCCACCAGGGGGCTCACCAGTCCCTCCTGGAAGTCGAGGTTCCAGGATCGAAGCTCGAGGAGGCTTCGATCGCGACGATCACAACGATCGCAACGATCGCAACGGCCACAACGATCACAGCGATTACGGCGATCACAACGATCACAACGATCACGCCGATCACAACGATCACAACGACAGCATCGAAGTGGCCACCTCCCCAGTGGCGACCCTCCCTTGGCAATGCCCCAGGCACGGGCGGCGCTGCCGCTCGGGTCGAGGCAGCTGCGGGTGTTGCACGAGGAGGACGACGCCCTTGGGCCGCGTCCACTGCGAGGGGAGAGCGAGCTGAGACGACGGCGGTTGGCCTTCTGCGGAGCCCCTCGTCGCCACGGCTGGACGCAGCTCGAAAGACTGGTGCGCGCAGACCCCGGGAGGGGTCCGGGGGCCGCTCTTGAGTTGCCGCGAGTCTCAGCGTGCCCCTCTCCGGCACCGTCGGATGGTCGAGTATGGCAGGTCCGCGCCGCGTCGGCATGGCGGCGATCCTGGCGCGGGCGGTCAAGGTCGAACGCCGCCAGCGGCCTGGAATCGGTCGACGTCGAACGGTCCGCGCCACGTATCGGACAGCTGTGGATCGTTTCGGGTTGAGCGATCCACGCGGTGTCATAAACCAATGCGCCAGTCGTCACGATACGAGTTTGCCCTATGTTTGAGGAGGGCGGTTACGTTTCGTAGCCCCAAGAGCCGAGTAGGGTTTCAGGGGTGCTGGTGGTGGTGGCGCCACCGCGGAATTGCAAAGTCTGGCGAGAGAACTCATGAGAGCAGAGTGGAGGTTTGTCGTGCACTCGCAGGCATAGGAACGGAGGTGGTTTCCAGAGAGGGTGAGTATCATACGAACCTTTTCGGGCCAGCGTAGCTCACGAGGTGCAGGTGCCAAGTTCCCACCGGCTGGCTCCGTGGGCATCGGATGCGGTTTGAGGTTCCTCCGCGCCGACCCAGGTCGAGAGGGCCGCGAAGCTCTGGCATCCTCGTGCGAAGCGGCCTCCTGCGGCCCGAGCTCGGCGGCGCGCGGAGGGGGAAAGCGAGAGCGGCCCTGCGAGACACCCTCCGTGGCTCCGGAGAAGGCCCAGGAAGGTGCTCAGAAGGCCGGAGGCCTTCCGGCCGAGCCTTCTGCGGGAAGGCCCGCCCCCCTCTGCCACCCCCCCCGGGGGCGCACCGCCGAGGGGAGCATAGGGCTCCTGCTCCCCCCGGCAGGAGGAGCTCGCCATCGGCAGCGACGCGGAGACGCCGGTGCCAGCGCAGCGCAGGCGCCGCGGCAGAGGGCTGCTGCCCGAGTGCGCGGACCCCGCGGCGGCGCCGCAGTGCCCGAGGACGTGCCTGGCCGGCGCGGGGGTGCACGGGCAGGAGCGCCCGCGCAGGTGGACCGTCGGCGACGCGGGCCACGAGGACGAGCTCGCGAGTCCCTGGGCCCAGCCGGGCACCAACAAGCTGCACGCCGGCGCCACGCCCATCCTGGAGGGAGGGGGGGGGGCCTGGGCATCCGCTCTCGGAGCTCCGCGCGGCGGCCTTGGCGCTGCGCCGCGAGGCGCCGCCCCACTGCGCGCTGCGCACGCCGGGGCTCCGAGGCATCGGCGCGGAGCTCCGACAGCTTGCGTGTCTGTGCCGCTTCGCCTCCCTCTGCATCCTGCCGATCTCGGGGGTCGCGCACCGGCTGTGCGCCACCGCCGAGGTCCTCGACGCTCCCCTGGGCACCTCGGGCAGCCTGCCGCCGACCCAGACCATCCTGCGGGCGCCCCGCACGGCCAGGGTCAGCGCGTACGGCGGGCCTCCGCCGGACGTGGTGGACATCCACTTCATGGACGGCGAGACGGTGGAGGTCTTGAAGGACGACGGCGACAGCTGGGTGGAGGCCCCGAATAGGGGAAGGAACAATGACCTCAGGTGCCTCGATATGCCCGTTGTGAAACGCAATACGCCCCGTGTTCAAGACGTCCGTGTCAATACGTTGCGTGTTGGCTCCACGTATTGGGCCCCGTTTTGGCGAACGTATCGCGTCGGACCTACGTTTTCAGCCTACGTGTTGAGCTCCGTATCAGTACGCTACGTGTTGCGTGCTGCGTATCGCGGCAACTAAGACAATGACGTAAACATACGAGGCCCGCGCGGATTTCTCGCATCCGCGGCAGGTAGGGGAGTCCAGCGCCGATCCGAGAAATCCGCGCAATGTCATTGTTCGTTCCCCTACCGATAGGCAAACGAACATGTATCCGGCGCGACCCCAGTGAGGGGAGCGCTCCCTAAGCGGCATTGTTTGGCCTCGCATCGGTTTGCCTGGGACTGCATGCTTTGCACTGCTTGGCGGTGCTCGGCATTGCTCGGGCAATACGGTAACGCCGAGCGTCTGCGTTGGCGCAGGTCCCTGTCCACTGGCAGTGCTCTCAGCAGGCATGCTTCACGATGGGACGCTGGCATCGGTGGGACTGTGGCATGGCGGTGCCCACTCCCGCTCCTTCTCCTCCACCCACCCCCCAAAACAAAACAAAAATGTGTAGGCAAGCCCCATCGGGGGATGGTCAACAATCTTCGGAGGTCAGCGCGGGCCTCCAGAAGGTTGTGTGCTTGTGAAGTTGTTCGTTCTTCTGAGGCCACGGTGGAGTGCACCTTCACGTGCGACTCCTTCGACGAGCTGGATGGGCAGGTGTACAGCATCCCGAAGGGCACCGTGAAAGTGAGCTGCGACTTGGGCATCAAGTTCGTGATGTCCCACGAGGTGTTTACCCTGCTGCGCAAGAAGGTGGAGGACAGCAGCATTCCGAAGCTGCCGGGGCACCTGCAGGTGTCGCAGCAACTGGGCGAGGGCGCCTATGGGGAAGTGTTCCTCTGCGACGACACGACGGGCGCCTATGGCCCGGACGGGTCGCAGGTTGCCGTCAAGTGGGTCATTGGGGAACGAATGCCCTCCTCCTCCTCTCCTCCTCCTCCTCCTCCTCCTCCTCCTCCTCCTCCTCCTCCTCCTCCTCCTCCTCCTCCTCCTCCTCTCCTCCTCCTCCTCCTCCTCCTCCTCCTCCTCCTCCTCCTCCTCCTACGCAAGCAGGTTGCTAGGCAGATTTTGGGGTGGGACGCACCGCGACCGCAACAGACTCGAGAGGCTAACGCCATTCCGCAGCCCCTCCTTGAGGAGGGAGCTTGCGACGACCGATTTGGCATGAGCTTTCCATTCCAGGGCCTCGCAGGGAGGCGGGAGGGATTATTTTGCGAGAGTTGGAACTAACGTGGAGGCCATCTTGGGCACCCCGGCACGAGCAATTCGTAAGGGTCGATTTGGGCCGTCCTTGAGCGGTTCTGGGCGATCGAACGCCGAGTATTAGTATGCCATGGTTGCATTGTCCCGCAAAGCTCGAAATCAATGGATGTTGGGGTGTCTGGCCTGGACACGCGCGTGACCGAACAGTTAGGCATGTCTTGTGGACATCGTAGGCCCATTCTGAGTATTTTGGGGCTGCCTGAAGCTCCCTTCGGGCCGTCACTGGGCGGTATTCTTAGGCCGTCTTGGAACTCTGGGGCCATCTTGGGATCGTCTTGGCTTATGTTGGACCTTCTGGAGCCCTCCTGGACCGTTCTGAAAACGTATTCGAGCGATAACGCGGAATGACTGGTTGAAAGAAGGAACTCCATATTTTCCGAATGCGTGTTCAAGAATTTTGGGTGTTTGCGCTCCCTCTTGGAATCCACTAGGGTTTGCTCGGGATGTCTGAGGTCCTGCAGGATTACTATTCAGGCCTCTTGAGCGGGGTACAGCCACTCATCTCACACACGCCTTCTCACCCCAGGCAGGCGGGGGTTGGCGGGTATCGGGCCCACCTCCTCCCCGAATATGTGGAAAAGACCCCAGGGCGCTGGGGAGCGAGATCCCGCCAGGCAGAAGGAGTTGGAGAAGGGAGGAGTGAGGGAGACGAAGGGAGGAGTGAGGTAGGGAAGAGGGGGAGGAAAGAGTCAGGAGGGAGGAACAATCAAGACGAGCTTTCCCAGCTCGTTCGTTTGATCGGCCGAGGTCCGGGACTTCACCCGCGACCCGCTCTTCGGGAAGCGAGTGTTGCGAGAGCTCCGCGTCCTTGCCGCCATGGACCACCCGAACTTGCTGCAGCTCCTCGACGTGCTCCCGGCGCCGCGGCCAGACTTCGACGACGTCTACTTCGTCATGCCGTACATGCATTGCGACCTGCACAAGGTCATCTACTCCAAGGCGGCCCTGACGGAGGCCCACTCGCAGGCGTTCACCTGCCAGATCTTGCGCGGGCTCAAGTACCTGCACTCTGCTGGCGTCGTTCACCGTGACCTGAAGCCCCCCAACATCTTGGTGAACAAAGACTGCACCCTGCGCATCGCTGACCTGGGCCTCGCCCGCGGCAGGGCCTACGAGGAGGAGGAGTTCAGCGAGTACGTCGTGACGCGCTGGTACAGGTCGGAGGGCGGCGCACTGCGTAAAAACGAACCTGGGCGCTCTGCCACCACCCTATCGGACAAACTGCGCGCACCAGGCCTCCCAAGGGACCGGGGACTGGGGAGAGTGTGTGTGTGTATGTGTGTAAGTTGCGTGTGTGTGTTGTGTGTTGTGAGTTGTGTGTGCGTTGTGTCAGTTGTGTGTTTGTGTGTTGTGTGTAGTGTGTGCTGGTTATGCTCTGTGTGTGTTGTGTGTGATGTGTGTGTGCTTTGTGTGTGGGCGCGTTTTGTTTGTGTGTTGTGTAGTTTGTGCTGTGTGTTGTGGTGTGGGTGTGTGAGTTGTGTGTGTGTGTTGTGTGCATTGCGATGCCTATGCGTGTTCTCGAACAGGGCGCCAGAACTCATGCTCTTCCCCTCCGGCTACTTCGAGGCCATCGACTTGTGGTCCGTTGGGTGCATTCACGTGGAATTGCAGGCGCGCAAGCCGCTGTTTCCTGGAGAGCACACCGTCAGCATGCTCCGGGCAATCTCCAGCGTGCTCGGCTTCTCCAAGGAGCGCGACCTCGGCTGGATGCCAGCGGACGGCCAGGGCCGTGATAAGGCGCTAAGCCTCGTCACGGCCCTCGAACTCCCAGAGCGCCCCACGAAGCCGCTCGAAGAGCGGATGCCAGGCGCCAGCGAGCTCTGCCTGGACTTCGTGCGCCAGCTGCTGACCTTCGACCCCAATCGCCGCATGTCTGCGGCTGACGCGGTGGCTCACGAGTACCTCGCGCGTCTCCGCGACCCCATGGCGGAGGTCGACGCCGCGAGGCCCTTCGCGTGGGACTTCGACCGCTTCGACCCGACGGAGAGGGCGCTGAAGGACAGGGTCTACGCAGAGAGCGCCAGGCACCACCCGGAGATCCTCAGCAGGGACGCGGAGCTGATAAAGCAGCGCGGGATGGCGTCGATGCTGGCGGCGTACTCGAGCCAGAAAGGCTACGTGGCGCCCCCGTCGCGGGCCCCCCGGCCTCGAAGCGAGGCTGGGACTCCCGTGGCGTCGAGATCGAGCGGCGATTGCGCCAGCACGGAACGCGCGGTGTGGCTGTGAGCACAATGCTAGAGCGTGGTGGCGAGGGAAGGGACAGACAGACCATGACCAAGATTCAGACATGCTCACATCGTGTGATGGGCCTGTTTTCCACCACCACCACCACCATGAGTTGGAGGTGGAGGGGGCCCTCCTCCACCTCCTTTTCCTCCTCCTCCTCCTCCTCCTCCTCGTCCTCCTCCCTCCTTCCCTTTCCCCGCTCCCAACCTATATGGTAGTGGTGGTCGAAGACAGGCCCATCATCGTGGAAAAGAATACGACGGAAGGGTTTGGGCGATGTTCGCCCTCCGGGGGGGCCTCGCCTGGCCCGGGGGCCATCAGAGAGTAAATCGCGATCGATCGGAAGCCTGGCTGGGGGGCCCCCCTCCTCCTCCTCCTCCTCCTCCTCCTCCTCCTCCTCCTCCTCCTCCTCCTCCTCCTCCTCCTCCTCCTCCTCCTCCTCCTCCTCCTCCTCCTCCTCCTCCCGGGGACCCCGTTTCTCGGGCCGAACGAAAGGGGGGGATAGGGGAAGGGGGGGGTACGAAATCTGCTGCATGCAGCTGGTTTCGGCCCCGCCGCCGGGCCCATCCCTCGATACCTGGGCGCCTCCCGGCGCCGGGAGGCGACGGGAAAATCAGCTTCGTGAGCTGATTATCAACCCCCCCTTTGCTATCCCCCCCGTTCGCCCGGCCCGAGTTTCGAAAAAAACTAGACATCGCATGTTTGGGGATGTCGCGAGATTTTGTCGACGCCGATCTTGGTCAAGATCCATGTGGGCAGTCGCCGGCTCGCGAGGATTATCCTCGAATTGACGCTGACCAAGATGGACAGTGACCAAGATAGACACCAAGTTGTTGAGTTCAGTCTTGGTCATGGTCCCCGTTTTCTTTCCCTCCGTATTGGCACGCATCCGCGGTATGCATCACTTGCTTTCGCATGTCCAGAACCCAGCACACCCCAGCACTTATCGCCAGCAGTGCAGCAACATAAGCAGCAGCAACAGCAGCGACGCTGGAAGTACAGCACAAACACGCGAGGGTGAGTATACTGGGGATGTCTGGGTGGCAGGCACGGCACAGCGTGTTTGCAAGCCGGGCTTAGTTCTCAGGCAAGTAGCAACCAGGCTGCAAGCTGGGCAAATGTGGGGAGCAACTTGCTGAAAGACGTGTGACCAGCTTACGTCCCACTCAAGCCCAAATCGGACCGACGTTGCACCATATTCATAACACGGTGCATGTCCCTGTAGGGGCAGCGGACACTTAATTCGAGAATCAAGCATAGGAGACGGGGCAGTGCATGAAACTTTCGTAATTCGGATGTTCTTTAATTTGCAAAATGGGTTGGCCAGCATACCAACATGTCCCTTGATTGGGAGACGGGCGTAGCCTGCAGCCCAAATTCTTGCACTTGTTTCGGGCAAGCCCACATTTGAAACTCGTTGCCTCCATCCCTCTCTGCATCTCAATGCTCATTCCTTCTTTTGGTGTGTCTCTTCCGTTGTGCTGCGGCCGTGGAGACGCAGCGCTGGGTCATGCGGAAAAAAAGCGAGGTGTGTGATGACAGTCGCGGTTCGAGGCTTTGACACTCATCGTTCAGGGAATTCACGCATCATCTCGACAGAATGCAGTCGGCTGTCACACGCCGTTGTGGCTCGCGCTGGCTCCGCCCTGTCTCCGGCTGTTCCGGGCCCTGGTGATGGCTCTGCGCGCCGTCGACTTCTGTCGTTTGGTCGTGTCTGGAATGTACCCGGTCAGGGTTCTTCCTTTGCGCTGCTGTAGCGGCATCCATAAACAGCTGTGTCCCCGATTGTCGCATGCCGTGCCTAAGTGTTCAGGGTCACCGCACCAGCCCCATCAAGATTGATCGTCTTGCGGCCTCTCTCTCTCGCCACCGAGCCCCGGGGGCTTTGGAGGTACCCGGGAGGCTTCCGAACGGGTCCTCAGTTCGGTTTGGGCGGGGAAGCTCTTGAGCATTTGGCTCGGACCTTGGGTTCTCAGTGATCTTTGACCAAGCAGGCTCACGCGACACCCCGAGAGCACCCAAGAATTCCCGCGATTGCAAGGATCGCGCCATCTTTTTCACACTCGCGCTTGTGAGTGCTTTAGGGGGCTCAACCACGTGCTCAAGGCACGGTAGTGAACACTGCAAAGAAGTACAGTTTGCCCATGCTTCCGAAGGCACATTTGCTGCCAAAGTGTTCAGACAGATTCCACGGTCCCTACGGCGTCGCACGATTGCACTTGGAGCTGCCTAATCAGATTTTTGGCTGTCTGGCAAGGAAAGTGTTCCCGTGTCAGATTCCCGAGTCCCTCGCTCTCGATTTTGAGAGGAGAGTCCAAGCAGGCACAAACCAATAGCACATTTCGAATGCTAGTCGAGATTTCAATGCGTCAGTCTGTGTGTGCTTTCGTAGAGACGGGCACAGGAGGTCTCATCGTCGAGATCAATCGAAATATCCAACATGGCCCCCCTCTTCACCTCCACTCAAGCCCCGCATGGCTTGTCGCAGAACTTCTAGGATGCCCTTGTTGAGCGCGGCAGGTTCAGGTCGAAGGCCGTCAATGTTTGCTTGGAGTGGCTCTGTTGGGTTGGACCATTACAGAAGCGGGTAGACCAACCCCTTACGTAAGTAGTGTGGGTCCGCCGTCATCGGCCCAAGCTGCTACGGGGGTAGAAGCGGGTTGACCAAGCCGGCATGAAGGCCTCTTGACAGCACCTTGGAGGCGTCTAGGGTCGTCTTCGAGCGCCGGAAGCCCGAATAGGCGAAAACGCAAAAAACAAGAAGTTGATGGACTTGTCATATGGAGGTTCTCGTGGGAGTCCTTTGGGGGCCCTTTGGGGGCTTCGTCGAGGCCTCCTGGACGGGTTTGGGACCGCATTTGATGTCTTAGGCCACTTGTGGGCCCTCTTGGTCCGCATTGGAGCAATACTAATTCATTATAGTGCCTTCTGCGGCCAGATTAGAGCCTCCTTGAGGCACTGTGGTGCTGCTGTGGCTGCTGTGGAGGCGTTCGGGGTCGTCTTTCTTAGTTTTGGAGCCCGTCGCAGCGTTTTGCGTGAACTCGTAGAAAGCGCGCGGAATGGAGCGGATTGCAAGGTAGATCTCAGCAGTGTATGATAGTTGCGAGAAAACGGTGGAAACAAATGGCACACATGCCTTGGCTCTCGCACGAGGGTTCGCCAGGGACAGGCCAGGCGGGGTGAGAAGGGGAGACTCTTAGGGTCATCTCAATGTTCTCTTCGGGCCATCATGACCATAATGAGGAGGCAGGGTCAGCAGGGCCTGGGCGAGGCGACGATCGAACGAACGAACGAACGACGAAGACAATCAGGGCTACGAGCTCTAGAACACAGCTGTGCACGAGAAGAAAGGGTTCTGCGGCTCAGGGGCGGGGCGGGACCCAGGGGAGCCAGGGGTGGGCTCCGCGGCCCAGAACGGACGAGGCAAGAGGGGCCGTCGTCGTCGTCGTCGTCGTCGTCGTCGTCGTCGTCGTCGTCGTCGTCGTCGTCGTCGTCGTCGTCGGGGGGAGGACGAGCAACAACGAAAGTACACGGTTCCCCGGCCCGGGGGCGGGGGCGGGGTCCAGGGGCGGGCCCAGGGGCGGGTTCCGCGGCCCAGAAGGGAGGCAGCAAAGCCAAGAGCGGGCTCCACGAGGCCAGGGGGTCCCAGGGGCCAGCCCCCACGGAACAGCAGCACATGCCATCTGGGCGTGGACGTCGGGGAGAAAGGAAGGACGAAACGACCACCAACCGGCGGGGGTCCCGCACGGAAGGCGCAGCAACGGCACGACAGGCGACCCGACGAGCGAACGATCGACCACCATGCGCTCAACGAGTGGACGGGTCACAGCAGAGTGACAGTTGGGACGGCGGGGAAAGGACGTAGATGGAGAGACTAAGTGTACATTGCACTTGGAGGAGTTGGGTTGCAAGAGCGCCGCCATCCTGCACTTGGACGCCGCCACCTCGCACTTCGAGGAGTTGGGCTGGACTTCGCGCCAGGTGCGGGAGCGCATTGGGGAGGCCGCCGACACGGAACTCGACGACGACCCTCGCGCCAAGAAGCGTCGCAAGTTGTGGCAACGGACGTGCCTCTCCATCGTGCAGGAGGCGACGGTGGAGGAGTCGGAGCGCTTCTGGCGGCGCCGGATGCAGCGTTGGCACCTAGATTTTCTGCCGCCAGCCAGGCGCGCCCCGCGTGCGCGGCAGGTCATGGGCGCCCTCTGGACGGTTGCCCCGCCGCGGGTCAGAGCCGCTCTCTTACGCACATGGTTCAACGGATGGTGCGCGGGCCGGCGTTTCCAGCAGCGCGGTTCTCGCTGTCTTTTTGGGTGTGCCTGCGATAATTCCATTGAACGCTGTGCAGGTTGCCGGGCGGTCCGGGAGCTCGCGTGGCGGAGCCTCGCGATCCCTCGTTCCACGGCGCCCCTTCCGGATTTCCTTCTCCTTCCCCCCAACGAGCTTGCCCGCGGACTTCGTCCTACGTTCGGCCATTCGCACCGCGGCGGTGTCCTTGGCGCACTGCCGTGCGAGACACGCCGCAGGGCCCAGAACACCCACCGCAGCGACGCTCGGGCAGATCGCTCTGGCGCTGGTCCGCGGTCACCCCGCCCCGTCTGCCGTTGCGCGTGCGCGCGCGAGCGCGCGCGCACAGCAGCCGCGCCGCCAGCGGCCACTGTAGCTAAGTCTGCGGGTCTCCGCCCTCGTCCTCCCCCTCCTCCGCCTCCCCTCCTCTCCCTCCGCTTCAACCGTGGTGCGACAGGCTCTTGGCCTGGCGGAGAAAGAGGGCCGGATTTTGTTGCAGCCGTTTTGTGCGATACCGAATGTTGTCGCTCGCGCTTGCTTATCGTGTCTCTTGTCCCGGCCGCATGGCCGATGGACTGGGGGGCACGCTGCGCCGTGCAGCCGATTGGTGCTGCCCTTCTCCCTCGTCTCTTGCCTCCCGCTCTTGCCTCCCTGTGGCGGAACGCAGGCTTACCCTGCTGGGGTGAGCCTGCTCCCCGCCTCTTCTGCCTGTCCCTTCTTCGTTCGTCCCCGAACGCTGGAAGCCCCAGGTCTGGACAACCCCCTGAACGGAGATGGCAGCAAGAGCAGCCCGCTGTTAGCGTGGTTCTGCACGTAGGTCGCCAGTTATCCCGTCGTCCTCCATCCCTCCCTCCGTGCCGGCGCCGCCGCCGCTACTTCTCCACCTTGTGATAGCGTGATGGTGCATGTGATTCGTTCCGACTGGAGCTGCATTCGCGGGGGATTTCCGAGTTCTGGGGCATGACCAGTCTACGTTTCAGATTTTTTTCATGGACCGCTGGAGCCATCAAGCTTTGCACACAGCACTTGTCCGATCTGACAGATACGTTTTAAGTGGGAATTCGTATCGGTAGGTTCGTGCTGGCCAGCGCCTTCGACAGACAGCAGGCGAATGGCTGATCTTCGATTGGAGGCTGGTCTCTGAGGTAGCGCTTTCCTCGTCATCGCCCTCGCCCTCCCCTCCCTTCTGCCCTCCTCTCTCCTCGCGCCTCTCTCCCCCTCCTCGGGCCAAACAGCGCCTACCAGGCACGATGTGTGCTTGCGACGGCGAGGCGTCATGACAGAGTGCTGCAGGCGCGTAGCAGGGGGAATGCGTCGCATTCGGAAATAAAAAAATAAGGAAAACAAGCAAGCAACAAAAAACGTTTCGGATCCGAACCGCTGTGATCAATTTTGGGCCGTTTCGCACGGAATTTGAACATGGAAATGTGCGCGTTTGTAGCGCATGTTACAGCACGTCTGTCGCGCCTGAGCTGTTACACCGCCGAACGCTGTCATGAGCTCGTAGTCGCTTCGGGCAAAAATGGAGAGGCTTGACACACCCGTTTTTTGGATTGCCGAGACGCTTCGCTGCAGTCCGTATGTGGGTTCTTTTTTCGCTACGGACCACGCACAGTCAAATCGCCGTGGGACATCCTGGGTGACAATTGGGGCCTTTTGGATACGCTTTGTGGGCCGCTTAGGCCTTTTTGGGGGACGTTTTGGGCAGTATTTGAGCGCTTTGGGGCCGCATGCGTCTTTCGGAGGCCGTCCTGGGGATTCTGGGTGCTACCCTGGGTCCCTGTTTGAAGTTTTCTTACGCCTATGGGGCATCGCCGGGCCATCTCCGAGCCCTCAGACTACCCCTGCTGGCATAAGAACCAAAGTTGAAGCAGTGGGTCGTGTCGCAGTGGCAGCTGGAAGCGGCATTGGAGAAGCGGCTGCGATATAGAAGCCAAGACGCCGAAGGTTTAGGACGCACGTTGATGGCCTTCGTGTATTCCAGCTGGCATGAGCGGTAATGCTCATCCCAAACGCATCCACATGAACGATGTTGGCTGGGCCCACGCAGCGGTGAGGTCGTATCCCTCGGGCGCAACACCCAACCAAGTCCCTGAAAGTCGCATGCGTAGTATAACGTTTGTTCTACGTATGTACTACCGTTGCATGTATGTTGCTTGCCTTAGCCCCACAAGCCCCGCAAAACGCTGCATCGTTTCCGCGTGCACTTTGAGAAAAGAGCGCGCGATGTTGAC